AGAGCATCGTGAGGTCCCGTAGAAGTCGATACACTCGACGAATCCACCCCTGTAGCGCTCAAGTTAGTAGTAAGACGAGCCTTATGCAAGAGAGACTTAAACATGGAGGGGCGAAACAATCCTGTAAAGGCTGGGTTGTCCGGAGAAAAGTTGTCATCATCCGAAAAATCAATGTCTTCCGGACACTCTTCACCGTGGTCTGATTCGGTCTGAAGAGTACAAGAGGTTGTCGTCCGTGCAACCTGGGACGTTGAAGATTTTTTTTTTTTAAATTTGATTTATATGCCGCCCTTCTCCGGAGACTCAGGGCGGCTTACAATGCATTAAGCAATAGCCTTCATTCTTTTGTATATTTTATACAAAGTCAGCTTATTGCCCCCACAAACTGGGTCCTCATTTCACCTACCTTAGAAAGGATGGAAGGCTGAGTCAACCTTGAGCCTTGGAGAGATTCGAACCAGCAGAAATTGCAGGCAGCTGTGTTAATGACAGGGTGCACTAAACCACTGTACTATCAAGGCTCTTGACAGATTGCTGCTGTTGTTGAATAGGCTGCCATCAACGTCTGCAGTGGAAGCTGTGTGGCCTGCTGAAAACCAGCCGCAAGGAAGGATGAAAAGGCTGATGAAAGAAAAGTCTGGAAGTCCAATGGTGCTGCAGTAGGAGGTCCGTCCGGACCGCGAAGGCCAGCAGCCGTTGGAGTGAATGTGGCCTCAGGTAATCTGCGGGAAGGCCTCTGCGAGTAAGCCAAACCCGCTGCTGACACATCCGGCAACGACTGCGACACCCCCTTGGCGAGGTTTAGCAGCTAGACAGTCTTGGCGATGGTCTGCATGCCTCGGTCAGGTGAAGAGGCCGGGGACTCAGAAGGGGGAGAGATGCCGGCCACTGAGGTTGAGGCAGCCCCTTGAGGGAGGCTGCTGTCAAGACCCACATCTGCCACTGCCGCACATCGTGCCTTGTCCCATTGACGCTCTAGAGTGTTATGACGGCGCTGGACATCCTTATCAAGGCCCTTGGATGCCTTGGGCTTATGGGATTTGCGGCTGGAGGCCTCAGACCACTTCCCCAAAGATTTCTTTGCCCTCTTGGAGAGTCTGTGCACAGGGCTTAGCTCCGGTTCCATGTCAGAGGATAAGGAAGAGTCCGCCATGACACCTGATGACTCAGAGCCTGTTAAAAGGAGGCTTCCAAAGTTGTGTCTGTTTTGTTTTGTTGTTTTGTTTTGTTTTGTTTTGTTTGAAAAACGAACGAACTATATACAACAGCAGACTCTATGTGAGGCTGGAATAGTAGCCTTCCGCCCAATGAATAAGTCCTGATGGCTTAATAAACCTGGGGCCGAAGGAGGAGGGAGAGCCCGGAATGGTAAAGTCTCTTTCGTAGGGCTATGGGATTAAAATGGTGACCGCAATGAAGGTGGCAGACAAAATGGCGGGCGCTCCTTCAAGGGCTGAAAATGGCGGTCACTGTAAGCCAGCAGTGTCAGGTGCCTAAAAGCAAGTCCCTCGGCGGTAAGGCTTTTAAAAGAGTGTGCCCAATACCTCCTCACCGGTCCTTTGTCGGCAATCAGGAAATCAGCAAAGCGGAGGGCACACCACAGCTGTGACGCTCCTCTGAAGCAGGCGAAGGCAACTTCTGACAGTTCAGCAATGGCGGCAAGCCTGCTCGCTGGCCCCTGACACCGCCTAATGAAGATGAAGCACGGGGAGCGCACCGCAATGATGATGCAACCCCGAGCCGCCGATATGGCCAAAGGGAGTCGTGGCGATAGCGGCAAGCCTGCACGCCCAGTCCACGCTCGCGGCTTGAGGAAAACAATAGCCGGATCCACCCCGAAGAGTCGGAATCCGGCGGCTGCGATCTCCTGAGGCGCGGGTGGCCCAGAGCCCCAGACACACCACACGCAATTAGCAGCCAAGCACTCGTAAGGCCAACCGATAGAAAAATAAAAACAAAGATAATCAAAAGGAAAATAAAGACCTAAACGGAAACCAGGGAGAGGAATTTAAAGGAAAAGGATAAATCCAATTTTCCACAGCTCAGAAATTCACGTCACTTCTTGTCAGTAACTGAGTAATAGACTGGAGGATTATGGGATTGGAGGAGTGCCTTAGCAGGGAGAGTTTGATCAGCTCTCACTCAGTTAGTGTCAAGATCTGAAGGAACATCCCCAGCTATGGACAGTGGGAGCAGCACTCTGGAAAATCACTCTTTCTGTTGATGAATCAATCATTATCTCAGAGGGGAGCTGGAATTCTTTCCTTTATATGAGTCAGCATAATGCACACTAAAATTCTCAGAACTCTTAACCAATTAGCCATGCTGCCTGAGCTTTAGAAAGCTATCATCCAAACCATGTGGAAGATAGCAAGGTAACTTCTTCCTAATATAATACATATAAATTAATTATTGCCTAAATTTCAGAAAGCTCACCTGCACAACAACTGAAACATACTGATCCCATACAAAGCCTGTTACAGTATTACCTTAAATCACTATTTATAACAGCATTAACATAATATAGGATACTAAATATAGAACAGATAGTTCCAGAGGTAGTTTGGCTTGATCAGATATGACTTTATCCAAGGTCATTTCAGAAAATTTACAAAGTGTATTTAGTTACTAAAGTCATAAACACTGAGATTTTTTTTTAAAAAAAATAATATTCACTACATTTATATAAATTGTACATCATACACACAAGACCATTTCAAGTCAACTGATTTTTATAAATACTTATAGAACCTAAAATAACATACTTATTTCCAATACAAATGCAAATGTATAAAATTAATAATATTTTTAAAAAATATTATTATTAAATAATAAATGTTTTAATAAATATTTTAAATAAATATTAAAATAAGACATTCTTATGCTAACAATGAATTCTCTCATGTAAATAATTTTTATTTCAGTTTCATTATTGCTATATGTATTTGAGTTTATGTATATTTTTGACAAAAGTATGTGAAATAAGGTACAATCGAGATGAAACAGCGTACAGGTGGGAGGTTCAAAAACTATCCACATGGTGCTTAAAAAACAACCTGCACCTGAACATCAGCAAGACCAAGGAAATGGTGTTGGACTTCCTGAGGAAGAGAGAGGAACTTGCCCCACTTTACATTGAGGGGGGCTGTGTAGAGAATTTTCTCCTTTAAATTCCTGGGAGTCCATCTCAGCGAAAACCTCACCTGGAAAAACAACACAATCCAGGTGGCCAGGAAGGCCCAACAGAGACTCCATTTCCTTAGGGTCTTGCGTAAAAACAGGGTGGAACAACAACTGATGACCTCCTTTTACTGGTCCACAATAGAAAGCATCCTCACTTATTCCATCACAGTATGGCATGCCGGTTTGATAGCCGCGGATAGAAAAACATTACAGAGGGTGGTGAGCACAGCACAAAACATCGTGGACTGTCCCCTGATACTACTAGATGAGATCCTAGGGCTCGTTGCCTTTTGAAGAGTGAGGAAAATTCTCAGAGACAACTCTCACCCTGGTCACCACTTCTTTACCCTCCTACTGGACTACTCCTACATCTGAAAGGAGATACAGAAGCATAGTCAGCGCACAAACAGGCTAAAGAACAGTTTTTATCCATGGGCTGTCAGACTCCTGAATGCAAAATAACATCACAACTATGTAGTATGATGGACTTACAGGGACGGCGCAACGTGTAACATGTTCACACTGGTGCAATAGGACTGGGTGTTTTGTTAATATGATTTATTGGGTTAGGGATTTTCTGTCTTCACTGTGAGTTGTATTGTGTTGAGGGTGTGCACTGAGAGAGCTCAACCAATCTCATTGTACATATGTTGTGCACTGATAATAAAGATTTGAAAAAAATAATTACTTCAAAATAATTGTTTTAAATTATCAGTACTGTTCAATCCAAACAATTATATCTGACAAAAAAAATAAAATAAAGTAAAACACAAGCTAACGGCCTCTTCCCCATTATATATGTGCTCTGAAATTATACTGTATATGCTGGCACAAGTCATTTTTCTCAAGGTTCTTCCAGGAGCCCCATTTTAATATAAGTAAATGCTTATTCACTTCAAAAAATTTCAGCTGAAGCCTTGAACCCTTTGTGCAAATTATTTTAAATACCACAATCCTAGTTGACTCCTTCAACTATGATATAATTTTTCTAAATAGTTATCTAATCAAGTTGCTTCATTTTCTCCACAGACAACAAGCCAAAAAACAGAAAGGTTAAAAAGACAGTGAAAAGCACAGAGATAGTATGTCTATAAATTAGTACTCTAATTTTAATTGGTTGTATGAAGAAAGCGCAGAGTATTCATATGGCTCCCTGGGGTATTTTCCTTAAACATTTTACTACAACTCCATTAACAAAATATATTAAAACCTAGGCTTATTGTGTGGAGCTCAATAGTGTCAGTATTGCATTGCACTGAAACATACTATATAATATAGCTATATAATATACCGCCAGTGGGGGCACCAGTATTTTTGTTACACTGAAATAGCCTACCAATGGGAGAGAAGAATCAGACAAGCAAGCTTTTCATAATCCTTTTAATTCCTCTGGATAAGAAAGTTGAAAAGCGCACTCAGATTTCTTGTTCAAGTATGTTTGCCCTCTGTGTAACATTCTCATCTGGAAACTGATTACCAGCCAAGAACTTTCAACTCTGTCTTTCATTTCCAGGCATATAACTCTGTAATGGAGAACTACTTAAGAGAACTCCTCATCTGTGGTGTTACTGTTGCTGCCAGCTACATAAAAGTTCACTCCTACTTTCTCAAGTAGATTATTATGATGAGGGCATGGCAAAACCAAAATTTTGGTTGAAATATAGATATCTTATTAATATTATGCAATGAGATTATAGCCAGAAATTCCAAATAGTATTATAAATTATAACATAATTGTTTTTATAAATAGGGTACTGGGATTCCTCATTTATTTCATTTATTTGTACTTATGCTTGAAAAAATATGTTAATATTTACTTTCTAATTCTTCTTTCTCAAAGTTTGTGTTGATAGTAGAACTGATTTTGCCTGTATCCACAACAGCTTCTTCATCATGACCCTAGAACAAAATAAAAAAATATTTTTTTCATTCTATATAAACCATTTGGTATCCTTGATGCCATTATTATTTCTGATGCATTTCTCAAATAAACAATATTAAGCTATTAGGTTTTATTATTTTATATAGTTAACTTATAAATGCACTTATTAATATTTATGATTGTACACATATTTCTAATAAAACAATCAATTAGGTCTTTTTCCTCGTAAACTGAGCCAAACATAGTACTTAATGATTTATATCAAGGTAATGTTAAAAAGTAGCAAATAATTATAACTACAGTGCTATAGATACTTGAAATGTTACATAAGTCAAATGTTTGATAATTTATGTTCACAATACTTAAATACTCATACTTTATCAAAGCTAAAAAAATTTAATGCCAGGACTCTACATCCATTTCTTTTCTCTCATACTAAAAGCCTCTCACAAAAATGTGCTGATTGTTCAATAATATAAAATATAGATTTCTACAATAATGATTTTAACATTACATGTATTCCCTAGTTATAAGAACTTCTATTACACCATTCTTGTCATTAGCAAGTTGGAAGGCTAGAAGGATTGATAGAATGCTCACAGAAGGTCGTAACTAAGCTGCACCAGCAAATCTGGAAAACATTGGCTAACAGGTTAGACGAGGTCAATGTACAGTCCAATACCAAAAATGAGATTTAATAGTGGGTAAAAACCATCATACAGTATTCTTAATTATACAGACTAGTAAATTTATGCTTACCTCTGCAAGGTAAGCAGATTGGAGGCCTACATGAAAAAGACATTTAAGCTGGCTTTACAAAATTGTTTCAACTCACTGATATTATAGAACGGGTTTGCATAAATTAATCACTTTATATCAGACCATAACACTTCAATAAAATTAAGATCCCACTCAGTTATACCAAAACATAAAATCTGGCTACAGACACTCTATTGTGGTTTTACTTATGTGTTAAAGATAATTGTACTGCATAATTCACGTTTAGTTAATCTTTAGTTCATAGAATTATAACCTGACGTGTCCCTAGAATTTTTGTTACAATCCATAGTACTTTTTTTCCACTTTTTTTCAATCATTACAATACCTCTCTCCAAACCATAAAACCTCTACCACCATTCATAGTTGAGGTGAACTTCTATTGAAATGCAGTGGTTTGCTTTCTCCAAGCATTACATTTTTCATAAGTGCCCCAAAGTTCCATTTCCACCCCACTTGTCCATAGTGCACTATTTGAAAGCAATTAAATCACTCAGGTAATACTTGGCAAACTTGAGATAAGTGGCGATATGGTTGCCCTCTTGTTATCTTCTCATACACATCATTCTTGTACTGTGTTTTCCTCATAGCGGTATGATGAACAACAGATAATGCAAGAATGCAGATTCTTTGCCAACCCTACTCTGCTGAAGGGTTCTTTGTAATGTCCAGGGTAATATAAACCTTGCTTTTGTGGTGATTTATGAGGGAGGAGGAATGGCTTACCCTAGGAACTCAGCAAGTGAACTCTGTTGCTTTTTCTCAATTTGCACATTATCTGTCTGTTTATAGACTGATTGAGGCAAGTTTTTGAAGATTTGCATACATTCCTTCATTTCACATATAATATACTTCTATACATTTGTGTCATGAATATCAGAATTTGATTTAGTAACAAATACATTCTTTTTATATAGGAGCTCCCTCAAACTCACATGATTGCCATCATACTGACTAGACTTTGACTCTGCTACTTTTTAACAGACTTGATTATCTTGAGTCTACCTTTTTTTCAGAATAAGACTCTGTCCTGTCTGTCCATCTATCCAATTTTGAAATTGCCCACTTCTCCCACAGAGGGACTCTGGGAGGTGTACAAATAAAATATTAAAGCATAAAAAACAGTGTATAAAAATTAAAAAGGATTAAAATTCAACTCTCTATCTCTGTAATTCTTGTTCCTGTACTGTTGAATTGCAGTCTGCAAAATCTTGTGAATTATCTTACTATTTAAGATATATGCAACTGCTTTAAAATGTTTCCATACTGCCTTTTTTATATCCTGGAGTATAAATATCTATGTGCTTATAAACAGTCAGTAATAAAAATAAAATTATCTTGCATGATTTAAACAGTATTTCATATACCTGTATCCCATTGGCCCAAAAATTCTTATCAGGGTGTTTAATCATGGTTGGAAATCCATGCACTGAGCTGGCAGGCATATAAATTATGAAAAGAAAGAGAAACTTTATACTGAAGCTTAAAGAAGAAAATACTGTATTAATGGATAATGTGGCTATTTCAAAGCATTTCATCAATGTTATTCTAATTTGTATAAAGGATATGACACTTCTTTAGAGAAAGATGAAAATCTTAGAAAACAAAATCTTATTTTCTAAAATCTAAGAAGAGCAAAGACAAATTATGAATAAACTTATAACAATAAGGAAAGTTTCTAAAGCTATAAAAAAGATTGAAGAAGAAAGGTGCCTTGACGAATTATCAAGTTTGTACTATTTTGAAAATGAACTTTTACAACCTCTACAAAATACCATGAATTCTGTCTTACAGGTATTAAGGTTACCAGGGACTTTGAAGGAAGCCAATATTGCATTAATACCTATAGAGCAGGCCTGTCAAACTCAAGGCCCGTGGCCCGAATCCGGCCTGTGATGTGGCTAGATCTAGGCCGCAGGGCTGCCCTTGAGACAGTGAAGGACTGCCCGTGATGCCTCAGCCCCATCTGAGGCATCACTTGAAGGCCGCCATCTGGGCCAGAACACAGTCTTTCATCTGCAGGGCCACCAGAAGCCAGCAAGGAATTGGCCAATCACCTCAACCGTGCCCTCTAGGTGCTTGCTGCCTCCTGTGCACATACCAGGTGATGGGGCCGAGTTTGTGGGGGTAGTCTCTAGCTGGCTCCAGTACTGCCCCATGGATCTAAGGCTCACCGTGTTCCAGGCTGGATGGCCGCCATCCAGTCATAGATCGCCATGCCCACCATCAGTGCCTTCATGGCTTGCTTGCCAGCCCGGCCTTGCAGCCCATGCAGCTACCCTTTCACTGGGACCGCCTCCACCCACATGGGAAAGCCATAGCCACAGTAAGCAGGACCAGTGGCAGCTGTCAATCTCTCTCCCTCCCCTCGTCTCTTCCTGAGTGCAGAGGAAGGAACGAGATGGGAATGAGAAGAAGAGAGGCTGGGAAGGAAGCAGGAATGAGGGAAGGGAGGGAGGGAGGGAGGGAGGGAGGGAGGGAGGGAGGAGATGCAAACAAGAAAGAGGGAAACAGGGAAACTGATCATGCCCACCTTAGCCGTATCCATGTCAGCCATGCCCCCCAGCCCCCCAAGTCAATCACAATCCTGATGCAGCCCTCAATGAAATCAAGTTTGACACCCCTGCTATAGACGAAGAACACTTGACCTTAATAAAAAAAACTATAGGCTGATATCATTACTGAATAATTTGTTCACAATGATTCTAGCTGAAAGGCTGAAAATAATTCTGTAAGCATTTCTTCCAGAGGATCAATGTCGGTTTTACCTAAAAGACAGTTAGAACTCTGTTGGAAAATTTGGAACAACATACTAAAAACAAGTTGCACTGATTTTTTTTTAATTTATTCTGATGCAGAAAAGGCCTTTGATAGTTTGAAATGGACTTTCCTGTTTAGTGTTTCAGAAGATATAAATTTTGAAGAGAATATTATAAAGTTGGTAACATCAATTTATACTTCACAGAAAGCATAAATAATTGTTAATAGAGATCTAAGGTATCCATTCATGATACAAAAAGGAACAAAACGAGGCTGTCCATTGTCCCTCTCCTGTTTATTTTAGTTCTTAAAATACTGAATAGAGATTTAAGACAGAATGAGAGAATTGTGGGAGTAAAGTTTTTTTTTTTAATTTATAAGTTAGAGCTTTTCAGATGAATTGGTGTTCTAAAAGATTCTTTGGAATCTGAAATGGGTAAAATAAAAGAATTTTTGATATACTAACAGTTTTTAAAATTAGTAAACAGAAGACAAAAATGTTAACAAAAATATGAAAACAGAAGATCAAATAAAATTGATGAATAAATTGGGTTTTGAGAAGATAAATACTTGTCAGTGTCAGTATGATAAATATGAATTGTATGTTATTTCAAAATAATTATGTTAAGACATGCAATGAACTTAAAAAATAAAATAGGATGGGGGGTGGAGCTGCCCTGCTACTAACTTTTGGACAGTTGCAGCCAGGTCTTGCAGACCTCAGCCCATTTTTTCTGCAGCTGGCAAGGCTTTCCTGAAGGTCTCTGTAGCCAATAACAGAACTCTGGATCGACTGGCTAGAGAGGCCTTCAGGAAAGCCTTGCCCGCCTTGCCGGACAAAGACGTTCCTGAAGATCTCTGATAGTGAAAAAGAGTCTGGGGGCGATATGCGCAAGTGAGGTGAGTAAGTGGATGACATTCCCCCCCCCCCGAAAATAAGATCTGGTGCCTTTTTGGTGGCAAAAAAATAAGACAGGTCTTATTTTCGGGAAAACGTGAGTGTGTGTGCTATAAAACCGTGTTTCCCTGAAAATAAGTGCTACTCCAAAAATAAGCCCTAGTGAAGATCGTCATCAGCTCAGGAGGGGGGGTGAGCATGGCTGATGATGTCCAGCAGCAGCCTCCGCCTGCGCAGCACAGGTGAGTTGATTACCTGTTCAAGCAGCAGGCAAAGCAGAGTTGGGGGGAAGCAGGTGATCCAGACATGCTGCACAGGCCACAGGAAAGCTGAGAGTCGGTGGGCTGGAACAGGTGGGTAGCCAAAGGAGGCTCATTTTTGCATGTTGGCAGCAGATGGAGGCAAAGGCACATTGGGGAAGGCAGGAGATTCCAGCACTCCACGCAGGTTGCAGACAAGCTGAGAAACTCAAAGACAAGTCACCCGCAGCTGGCCGGCCACTCTGTCCCACCATCTCTCAGCTTGCCTGCAACTTGTACAGTGCATCCAGATTGTGAGCCTCACCCTGCACTTCTGTCTCCA